GAGTGAGAAACCTTTGGTGGAAATCTCAGGAGAGGGCAGTTTTAATAAAAACCACCTCGTCTTAGACCTCAGGAAAAGACAGAGGAAGCGGGGAAGAGAGTGGGTTATAGCAATGAGGTCATGGAAAAGAGAAGACACTTCAAATGCATTCGTACCTGACACAAGTGCCTTGCTGATTAACTAAGAAGCTGTACCTTGACTTGCATGGCTTTGTGCTTGCTTTATAAATCAGATGAGAAGCATTTTTTAACAAGGGGAGTTTTCCACTCTGTGCTCTCTCTTGATACCCAAACCCAGTTCCTTTATTTTTAACTGGAGGTGGGGGGCAGAAGGGGAGTGAAGTTGTCCTCACTTATCCGCAGGCCAGAACTGGGATCCGAAATCCAAACGCTTTTGAAATTTGTGAGTTGGGAGAGAGGGGACAGGTTCACATCTGAATTTCCCCATCTGACCCCCTCCGGCCCCATGGTTTTGGTTCTGATCCCAACTGGGAAGAGATCTGCTTCCCAATGAGGATGTAGCGGAGACCTCACAAGAACAGCTATTTTCTCCTTTCCAGCATCGCGATGGGATTAAGATTTTGATGCCACTCGCCTCCCCCCCGACATCCCAAGCCAGCCCCCAGCCCTAAGTGAGCGCTGTTTGCTCAGCTAGCATACCTCTACTTCCAGTCTGAACTCTGGCTGACATCATAAATAAGCGCGAGCCATTTTTGAGGATTAGGAGACAGGGGGAGGAAGCGAGAAAGAGAGTCTGTAGCATGCTAATCATTCTTAATAATGGTATTTTCCTAGAGCAACTGTTAAGCTTTCTCTTTCAGCGACATCCAGGTTTGTAGAGCGGGCTAAGCTTGCCGGCTCAGTTTTCTTTGAAAAAGGAGGCTAGGCTGATTCCTTCGCTTGGTCTCATCTTAATGAGCGTTACTTGAGGGTCAGCCTCTGGCGTGTCTCGCATCCTTGGGTGTTTGTGCGTAGACTGATTTCTATGCATTGCTGTTCCTATTCACCTGGCAGGGGCGCGACTCTTTCTTCTCCATGCACGGAGGCAGTTCCAAGTCAGTTGCTCGGTGATAAGCACAACGTGTTTCAAATCAGGAGAACTTAGATCATTTTGTTCTTGGCCGCATTGCTGCTCTCTGGCTGGTGTGCATAGGATGAGGACCAGCTTGATGCTTTACCGGGCCAGGTGCCTCTCTCGGACAGCGTTCAGGCTTCCTTTTGAATTAATGGTTTGCATCCTGCTGTTGACAAAACCGTAGACTTAGGACAACCTGACCACGGGTCCTGTATTGGTAGGGAATTGTGTGTTAAACCATCTGATCCATCCTCAACTTCAATCTATTTGGCAAGCCAAGTTAAGGCTGGTTTGGGCACATCTACATGTGCACTTTAATGTGCATTAGCCTATGTTAATGCACTTTAAAACATCACAACCCCTCCCCTCCCATGCTGTTTCATGAATATGCATTAAAATAGGCTAATACACATTTTTCTAGTACATCACAACGGAGGGCACTTTTACGCGTGCTCTGGAGGGTGGAGGGTGGAGCTTTAATTAGAGTGGCTCCAAGAGCCGCTCTAATTAAAGTGCCACCGTGTCTCGTATATCAGCATCTCTACACTTAGAAATAGCAGCAGGAGCGCTTGATCTAAAGCTTCTTCACCAAGCTTTAATTCAAGCACCCCCGCTGCCATTTTTAAGCGCAGGGATGCTGATGCACGAGTCACAGGGAGGTAATTGCCACGCTCCAGAAGACTCAATTAATTCACACTTGTGAAGAAGTGCCCGGAGGTACTAGATTTAATGCGCAATACCTAAAGCGCATTACTGAACGTGTAGACACGCCTGTTGCCTCTATTATTTGTCACCAGTCCAGATCAAAATGCTTCAGAGCTTCCCATGACAGCTCACTCCTTAGACTAATGGATAGCACCATCTTTTCTGGTAGTCATCTCTTTAGCTGATCATAAATGAAAAGGGGGGTGTATTTTTTGTTGTTGCTGACATTTCAAATTCTTGCAGGCAGGGGAAAGGGGGAAATACCTGCCCCCTCTAGAAACTGCTTGGAAAAGCACCAAAAAATGTTTGGTGAAAATCCCTTCTTGCTGAAAAGTTGCAAATTATTATTATTTTTTTAAATTTTGAACCAGCTCTGTTCATCTTGAATGTTTCTCGTCT